AATATAAGTATAATATGTATATACCAGAATAATAAATCCAAAAATATGTTTGTCGAAAGTATTTACGGCTCGCACTAACAATTCATATGACGTTATGGTGATTTTGTCATCTCCAATATGATCTTTTGTGTTCGCAAAATGATGAATGAAATGTGTAGGTACGGATGGTAAAAATTCATAGATTGCTTGAGACCACTGATACCTATATGAAATATTTTCAATATTAATACTCTTTCCTTACATCAATCACAACAAAACTTACTTGACTGATGAAGGAGCAACAATAAGAAGTGGCCAACTTTCCTTATAATAATGTGCAATACCTAACGCTTGTATAGTTTTTCCTAAACCCATATCATCTGCAATCATGCAACGACCATTCTTCGATATACCATAGCTAGAATAAATAAAATAAAATATATTAATTAAAATATATATATATAATATTGACGATTGTTCGGCGTCCAATTAGGGGGGAATTACATATATTAGTATATAAATTCATGCGAAATTATATATTAGGAATTAAAGAACTAAGCTAGACTGTTATAGGCTTCGTATTCGTATTAGTTATGTTCTTACATTAATGGTCTTTAGTATTGAATATTATATATAATATATACAACAATTGTATGTAAAAACAGATTTACCAAACGCCCTCTCGTTGAAACGGCATTAAAGTTTCTATTAATGTTTTGTCAATTCTTGATAAATCTTGTTCTGGTAATTGATTCTCTGACTTTAAGTTTCTTCTGAATATCTAAAATAAGAATACATGTGATTATATTTATAGCTTCATAATGTATTCTTACTTTGTAATTCAATTACCCGAAGGACAGCTTCTGGTATCTTTGTTATAGATAAATTACAATGCTTAGATGATAATGTCTGTAATAAACTGTTATAATCTTTGATGTGGAAATTCCATATTTTAGATTTAAGATCTGTAAAATTAAATACTGATAAATGTTAAAAATATTTGTACACGTTAAATCAAGCAACTTATAGTTACCATATATTCTACTTGGAACTGTTTTAAATGTCGCAATAATATCAGGTACAAATGTTGATATTTCTAAGGCAAATCTATCATCACTAATCATATAACATTTTCCTGTTACAGACAACATTTGATTAAAAAACTTTCTGGGTTCTATAGGATTAAAACGATTGTTTGTTTTGTTCCTTTGTGCAATATTTTCATTGTCATTTAATTTTGGCTGTTGACAAATTTGATTACTTGTGGGTGTACTTTGTATTTTAAATTGAGACTGCTGCCTCCTTTCCAATGCTAATAAACGCTTTTTTTCAATTTGTTCAGGAGTACACATTTTATCTATAAAAGAAATAATTTTTTAATTATTCATTTTAAAACATTGTTTTCTGAAGATAAAATGCTGTTTTTATAAAAAACTTTACCTATTTTATTTCCTTTGGCGTACTTCTCAATAACTATAACAAATATATATCTATTATTATATTACTATTTTAAAATATAATAGCATCCCAATTCATTTAATCCTACAAAGAATAATGTAATAAATACTACAACAATATTACGTCATTTATTACAAATATATTATATTTATGCTTACCGTTCATGCAAAGACATAAAACATATTACTTTTATTTTAATATTCCTTATTAAATTAACAAAAAGCAAACGATAAATTTACTGAAAAAATCAACTTCTAATCATGCTTCTAATGTTTCATTTGTAAACAAATATCAGTTCTCTTATATGCTAGGCTATGTTCAGATTCCCACCCGAGTGCCACCCAAGTATCCCTTCTATTCTTTGTTTACCAAATATTAAACAAGGATGACATGACACTCGGGTACACTCGGGGAGCACTCGGGTGGGAATCTGGCCCCTAGTAACATGTGTGCAGCCCGATTATTTTCCCTAGTCACATTTAAGTGAAAGAGAGCGGAAATTCAAACGCACAAATTGAAAAATTTATAAATAAAATTAGATATTTTCCCGTTAAAAATAATATTTTTTATTTCAATTTCAATTAATATATTATTGAACGTATTAACTAGTTTTATTAAAAAGAACTTCATAAGATTTCATCGTTTCCAGGTATTCGAGTTTAATGGAAACTTCCTTTACGGATGCGCATTGAGAAGTCACGAAGAAAATTGACAACTGAAAATTTCATTGCAAGGTCATGGATATCATTAATTATTGCTTCTGTCTGTAGTTTGTTCACTTACGTCATATATGAGGTAATTAACGTAAATGGTAATTTACGCGTTATTTTCATCTGAAGTATTTTTATTGCGGTTATGAATTATTTCTCATTCTATTATTAGGTTAGGTTTCATCTTTTGTAATTGTTCAACTCCTATCCTATAGCTTATTATTTGCTGTATATGGTACAAAGTTTTGACAGTGGATAAAAGTGTCATTTAATTACTCCTAATCATTGCACCTAAGTGAAATGCTGTCACTGTTAAAAAATACCATTGCATTGCCTTAACGGAACTCGTTAATATCGCAGCTGCAGCCTCAAGCATTCATTATGTCAACACCAAAATTTTCTTTGAAGGAAAATGTGGTATCATGTATGTAATATATATGTATGCAATATATATTAGGTAAAACTGATTGACTTTGATGAGATGTATGTTAATATATTATTTCAGCCAAACAGCATGAATTTATCGTGCCAAAAAAATGTGTCAAGACACCAGATGATTTAGTATTTTGGCAAAGATCAGAAGCTTACTATGTAAGAATTTTTACAATTGTTTACTTTTCATTGGAACTTTTTTTAAATTAATATATGATTATATGACAATGTATTATATATGTATCACAGTAAAAATATAAAATTTAGTACACATTTATTAGTCGATGTTTGCATTTATGTAAAGAAGACAAAAGTATTAACTATATGTATATATATATTTATGTAAAGAAGACTAAAGTATCAACTATATATATAGAAATACCTAGTATTTCTAATAAATTTTTATTTATGCTAAATAATGCATACATTTACACATTATAATATATTACAAATTTTTTGTCACAATAAAAATGTATACTTTAACAAAAGTATATATTTACTAAATTTTATGCTATTATTAAAAAATAATGTTATTTAAGTGTATTTATATAAAATATTACTTATAGGAATATTTAGGATTTATTTTGACGTTAAACAGTGCTGTTCAAGGGAACGCTTTAGATGCACAATGTCCACAGTCACCTGTAATAAACAATGTTGTACAGATGTTGAATAGACTTGATAAATGGATAACAGAAATTCCACCTACCGAACAACCACAGCGATTTGGCAACAAATCATTTCGCACATGGCATGAGAGACTTCAGCAGGTGTGTTGAGCATTGTATTTAAGAATATAAATTATTCATATAAATTATTGAAACATTTCAAGATGTCATATATATATTTTTATTTAGTTATATATATTATTTCTATATTTATAATTACAGAATGCTGCAGAAGAATTAAAGCAAGTTTTACCAGAAGATTTATATCGTGCAATCCCAGAGGTAGTGCAGTATTTATATGAAAGTTTTGGGAATCCAACTCGCATTGACTATGGAACAGGCCACGAAATGGCTTTCCTCATGTTCCTCTGCTGCATGTTCAAGATAGGTGCATTTGAAGATAATGATAAGGTTGCTGTTGTAATAAAAGTGTTTAATAGGTACATTGACTCAATATATTGCATGACTTCTTATTATCTCCAAATTATTTAGTTATTTTAATCGCGTTTTTTTCATCTTAGGTATCTCGAATTAGTGCGTAGGCTTCAACTGATATACCGAATGGAGCCAGCAGGTAGTCACGGTGTTTGGAGCTTGGATGATTATCAATTTGTGCCCTTTATATGGGGAAGTGCTCAGCTCATTGGTATTAACTTTTGTATATATTTTTTTATGTATTCTTTATCAGTATTATAATACAGTGATTTAGAAGCTTTTCTCTGCTTATAAAATTTATGATATTTTATGTTATTTAATATTTTAGGACATCCTCGGATAGAACCACGTCATTTTGTAGACCAAGGTATCGTAGAAGCTTACAGCAAAAAATATATGTTTCTTGGCTGTATCGAATTTATCTCAAAGGTACAAAATGATGTTCGTGCATAAGGATTTAAGCCTAAGGTACAATGTGAGGCAATAGCGATAGCAATAACAAAGTTTTAACTTATCAGAAATTATATACACCAGAATACATAGTTTTTGATAGATTGAAGTTGTATTATTCCTATCGCTATCGCTATTCCTCGCAATGTGTCTTGGGCTTTATTATGTTTTTTAGTGTGATTTAATTTATTTAAAATTAAGGAACATGCATACATTTTGATAACGATTATGTTTTATTAGGTGAAAATAGGACCTTTTGCCGAACATTCGAATCAGTTGTGGAATGTTAGTGCAGTGTCCTCATGGTCGAAAGTGAACAGTGGTCTTATCAAAATGTATCAAGCAGAGGTAATTATAATCGATATATGTCAGGAAAAAGAATTCTTGGTTCTATCGTATTTATTTTCTAGGTGTTGGCAAAATTTCCTGTTATCCAACATGTTTTCTTTGGTTCTCTGCTACCATTAACACCAATGGTCCCGAAATGCTCTACACCAACCATCACTCCAAATTACAAGGGAGCTCCTGTTGATGACAATGAGCCACCGCCACCAGCGGTGCCTCAATAAAAATTACATTCATAATAAATATTGTTACTCTAAACTACTTTATCACACTTCCAAGTATTATAAAATGTTATTATTGTCCTTTGCTCCCTTTATTTTATACTATTTTCATCAATTTCAGATGCATTTCTCTTTAAGTTGTTAGATATTATTTCATATTATATATATGTATTTATTGCAAAAAAACAATATTTTTATATTTTATTGAGAGAGATGTAATAAGATAAACAATAGTGCGAATTTGTTTAGATAACATAATGTATGCAAAATTTTACATTATTTATGATTCTGTAATTGTTGATTTTCTCAATAAAAATAATAGATTTACTTACATCTCATAAATTTAAAGTCCCATGAAAATAGCTATATTTAAATTTTATTAGAAATATTGATTTTATTTTTATAATGTCAAGCAATTTTGTCTCAATTTGTAAATCACGCTAATATTCTTAGCTTGTAAGAGATGCTTATTATTTTGATAACGTGTAAATTCTTGCATGCTTCTGATCGACGTTCGTCTCCATGGGAACCGGAAAAATAGTGTTGTCAACCCATTGTATACTTAACCTCAAATATCTTACTATACGAAAAGGTTTGTGTACAAATATATTGCAAGAATTTATGAAGTAGGTGTCATATAATTTTAAAAAGAGGTTCTTCTTTTTCTTCTTTTTTTCTAAAATGGATTTCCGACTCATTAAGATGGGTCACAGTATCATAAGTTGGAAACAAAAGGTCCAGTGTCCTGTTCCTGTCCAAGGAAAGGTTGGACTTGAATTGGTTGAAGACTCAAAATTTTACCAATCGATGAAAGTAACTTCCAAATTCATCCGAATTTACAAAAATATTAATGCTATTGTTACAGAGTGATAAATACTGGGGAAATTCGTGAAAGCTGTACATAATTTGCCATGATTAGGATATCAATTTTTATGTTATTACTGACAAACTCTTACACTATATTTTGCCAAGATATTGAGATTGACACAAATGGCTATATTGTTTACTGTCCTTGCATGGGTAAGATCTTGATTGTTATTATATCTGTAATATCATTGAATACGTTAATAATAATCTTTATTATTTTCATTTCAGGCCGCTTTGGTAACCAGGCAGATCATTTTCTAGGAGTACTCGGATTTACCCAGGCATTGAATCGTACTTTAGTATTACCGCCATGGGTTGAATATCGCACTGGAGAAATAAGATCTGTAAGCACAAGGTTTATGTGTAATATTCATGAATTTTATAACAATATTTAATATTATTCTAGATACAAGTACCTTTTGATACCTATTTCAATGTATCTAAAGTACAAAGTTGCCACAAAGCGATATTAATGGAAGATTTTATGAAGGATATTGCGCCAAAGATATGGCCACCTGAAAAAAGAACATGTAAGCTCCTAATTCTTCTGATTTTTTTGAAAAAGCAAGATATTCTGATATTAATTCTTTTGGAAGAAATTTGAATTTATTCTTTTTCAGCTTTCTGTTACGAGGCCCGTATGGGGAGCAATGGAACATCCTGCAATGCAAAACAAGGAAATCCATTTGGTCCCTTCTGGGACACATATAATATAGATTTCGTTAAATCAGAATTTTACAAGCCACTCCATTATCATGACGTATATTATACCCAGACAAAACAGCAATGGAATCAATATTATCCAGGCGAAACTTGGCCAGTACTGGCATTCACGGGTGCACCTGCCAGCTTCCCAGTTCAACCTGTGAACAAGCCTCTGCAGAAATGTCTCAACTGGACTAATGATATCTTGAATAAAGCGAAGGAGTTTGTAAAGAAAACATTACCGAGAGGCGCATTTGTTGGCATACATTTGCGGAATGGGATTGATTGGGTGTGGTGGCATTTATTATACATATTTTTACATAAAAAATATACTATTAACATCCTATAAGAAATGATTTCTTATTTATTATGTTCGTTTTTCAGGAACGTGCATGCAAACATATACCGTCTGCGCCAGATCTTTTCGCTGCTCCTCAGTGTCTCGGTTATCAAAACGAACGTGGCAAAGCAACCCTTTCAATGTGCTTACCGTCATTTGATGTAATAATAACTCAGCTGAAGCGTGTTATTCGCAACGGCAAAGATATCAAATCTGTGTTTGTAGCGTCTGACAATGATTACATGTTGGACAAACTCGGAGAAGCTTTGTCACGTATGGAGGTAAGTTTGTATATTACTATCGTGTCATCAATGAATGCTAATGTTATCATTCTTGTATAGGTATCAGTGTTTCGACAAGAACCACCGGTATCTTCGCATTTAGATTTGGCCATTCTCGGAAGATCTAACTACTTCATAGGAAATTGCATTTCTTCTTTCACCGCTTTTGTGGCCAGGGAAAGAGAGGTCAGGGGATATCCTACATACTTCTGGGGTTACCCTCCTAAAACCAGAATAGAACTGTGATACATTTTGTAACATGATGCTTGCCAAACGCGCAATTATAAGTTTTTGATAATTTTTATATTTATATATTATTGTATTAAATATTTTCATGAGATTAACATTATACATATGTTTATTATGACAAAATACAATTGTGGTATGTACAGAGCAAACTAAGTCATACTTTATAAAATGTTTTGGAGCTTCAGTATATATTTCGTAATAAAAAGTTTATCGAAGCAAATCCGTTTGAATGGAGTATCTCTCTCTTTTGCTATCCTATATGTATATGATATAAAAATATTAATCTTGGTACTTTTTTCCGTCGCACTAAAATTGCAGTGTTCTTGCAATTTTATTCACTTCCTATGTCTCGCATATCACACAGTGTCTGCTCTAAAACACAAGCGAAATCTCTCGTATTAGTCTCGTTGCACGATTTAAACGACGAACAGGCAAATAGAATATCCTTTGGGCGCGGATTATAGCAGCAACCATAACCATCGGGAACAACCGGTCCATAGCACATAAAAGACGCTGACTTATATGGCACCTTTAAATTACAGAAGTATATCGATTAGAAAATGTGCTTATATTTTTATTAAAATAATTTCACTTTACTGTTTCGCCAAAAAAAATTTCTTTAAAAGCCAACTTTGAATTACCTGACTTGACGTTAAATTGAAATATGTACTTCTCGTGTAACCAACATCTTTATACAATTCTGGCAGTTCCATTCCTTCGCTTTTTGCTATCATTTTTAAGCCAAATAAATGTCGGTCGACGCCTTGACCTGTCGCAGCCTATGCAAAAAGAAATGTTAATTCGAAAATTTACGCATTGAATTTTATAATATATGTATATGACTTTTTTACTTTACAACAAAAATTTTATTATTCAGATACTATATATACGTAATGTCCTGCTAATGTTATTCAGATTATATCCAAAGTAATTAAATTTTCTATAAAATATACATTATATGTATATTATAGAGATAATGATTAGAGACGCATTATAATTAAAGTATATCTTACTTGTGCGGCGTATTCTTTATGAGCATTAATAGCTCTGATCATCATTTCCTTCTTTTGTTGCTTACTTTTGCATTCCCCAGGAAGCATTATTTTCGCGAACTCGACTGACTCGGTGCTGGTCGACCTGATACACTCGGTTCTAGCATTAATAAATCTTCGTAATGCCGCGCTTTCGTAATGAGCTGGCGCCTTCCTTTGTAAATTATAGAAAGTCACTTGCATCGCGATCTGAATAAAACTGTCGGGACTCAGTTTAATCGTTTTGATAGCGTCTGCTCCGAATTTGTCAAATGTAAAACATTCCATGTCTATGTCGTCTGAGAGTCTAAAAAATCACAAGTATCGTATATTAAATAATACTGGCGTAATTATAATTATAAAGGGATAATCAACCTACTTATCTACTGTATCAGAAGCTATTTCGATTGAACAGTCTATAGCATCGTTAATTTCAAACTTCAAAAGTTCTGGTCTTGGGAAATCCGCAGATTTTCCATCCCTTGCGCTATTTTCTCTTGCCGCGCTAAAATAGACGGAAATTATTATTTGCGTTTTATTAAAATATCATTTTATGGTTCAATTATTATTTACATATATTTTAATACATAATCGTGAAGGACAGCAACTGGAACTCCCTCGCATGGACTGTGTTCATATTCCATGCCAATGAAACCATCAGCGGATATTATATACTGTAAACATGTCTCTTGTAGATCTCATTTAAAAAAATATGTCAAATATTTATCTAAAGTTATTTCTCTAATAAATGTTAATCAAATATTTCACCTGCACAGTTTTGTCATGCCATCTGTTTCCAGCGTTTACGGAGCTATTATAGCCTGTCATAGATTGAACTGCTCTAACTGAAGCATTATTCTTTTCCTTAAAAGCATCTTTAGGCATATCCTTATCCAGACATAATATAAACAAGGAACTTTCTATATCCTTGATTATATTCCTATTGTTACCCAATTCTGAAAATAACAATGATAACGATTAAAGATACATATTTAAAAATTATACAAAAAAATGTTATGTGGTTTAAAAAGACATAACACAAATTGTACAAAGATAAACAAAACGAAAGACAAGATAAAACTGAAATAAACCTAAAAGTAAGCTGCAATCCTTCGCCCAAGTATCCCTATTATTTCCAGTTAAAATTCCTACGGGCTTTCCTTGGGTACTCGAGCGATCTATGATGTCTTTTATAGCAGCTATGAGCTTGCCCTCATTTAAAATGCCGTTTTTATCGACAACACAAAGTTTAAAGAACTGTAATATAATTAAAATGTAATCCAGCTGTATTGTGTTTCATTATACTGATTGTACTTACATTATTATTGCACATGATTATTATATGTTTGGCCTCATCTGTATGCAACAATTTGTCGACTATTTCATTGGGCCGTCTGTGTGTGCCAAGTATCATGCCGTAAGGCTGCATATCAAGTGGATCATTGCGAGCCATTTCTTGTTTAATCTTTCCACTGTAATATTATTGCCGATGAATATTACAAGAAACAAAAATTGTTATAAACTGCATAAGACTTACCTCTTAACCATCTCATTGTAATCGCACACTGCAGCAACAAGACGAGCGGCATACATAGACATATCATCTGGTCGATGGAAGGTAACTGGAGGCCCGACAGTTCCAGGACTGGAATTCACGATCACTGGCAAACGGTATCCTAAATACGCAACTTCTAGCCACCATTCTTTCATCTAAAATAAGTAGATGTTGATTTGTATAATTCACCTAATATTAATTTTAAAAAATAAAGATACAAATACCCAGTTATCAGTGTTTTGATATCTCTCCAATAATTTGGCATGTAACCGAGGTCCTACGCCTGTGTGGCTTATAAATTCATTAACAATCCTCTCTGTATTTTTATATTCGTTGTCAGTCAATAATGGCTTTAAAGATCTGTAATTAATAAATTATAAATAACGATACTTGAAGAGATAAAAAGGCATCCAGACATGTACCTTAAATAACGTTCCGTAGTTTGCTTGAGATCAGGAACAGGTTGTTTTGGGATCGGCTGCTGATTTAAGTTTAATGTTGTTATAGGTGCTCCATGAAGAACAGATGGTGTCTTACGCAATCCATTATAGATCTGTTAATTCAAACGATTTTATTAAAGAGCTTTTCTTTCTTTACAAAATATATATATGTATGGACTTACTGTATACTTTGACACATTGGAGAGTACTTTGTACATAGCTGGTTTCTCTAAAGAACTCGAGCCTAATCCTACTGTACTGCTAAAGAACAAAGATTAACAGGTATTATTGACATTTCAAAGATAAACAAACATAATTGTGAAATGAACGTTATCGTGGGAAGAATCCAATGGCGCTCACTGTTAAGCTGTATGTCACACTCTGCTGATTGTCAAGCTTTTAAAATAGCAGTCATCTGTCACTCATACATGTGTATTAGATGCATAAGCTCATATATACACACATACATACATGCAGCCTGGCTAAATCAGTGCACGGCATACGCACGATAAATGATTTGCGTGATGACAGCAAATGACAACCCTGTATTACCAGAGTATATTGCTAAAAATTATCGCCAATTATATCATAGATGATGGACATTGAACCGGTCAATTGCAATACATGAGATATATTTGTGGTTCATGTCATATATGTACTATTTGAAGAGCATGTTTAGAATTATTTTAACAATTAATTAATACATACGCGTCCATATGGTGAAAGTTCTTCTTTATAAGTGAAAGGAGCAAGTGTCGTACAGATTATGGTCGGTGGTCAAAGCTCGACTCACAGCAGGTACATAAATGTACTTTTATACGTACGTCTCTCTTATCTTTACATGTATATGTATACATGTATAGGAGTATGTAGATTAATTACTATTTCCTCTAGTCACATTTGAAAAAAAGTCTAAAGTGCGGACAAGCTAAAGTATTAGTAATTTAAAAAGATCAAAACCGGTTTGTTATACTTATTTTATTTATTTGTTCAAATTGGCTACAGTTAGTGTGATTATACCATATATATCAAATAAAACCAAATAAAATGTGATTGTTATAATGATTAGATATATACAAATTTTTAATAAAATTTATTTTAAAATATGTATTTAAAATAAAATAACATTTTGATTTGGTAAGAAATTATTAAGGAAATAAATACATCATATAATCAACGAAGTGTTCTTAGAAAATTGCTACAATAAAACTACGCGGTCTTACATTCTATACAGAGTCGTCGAAATTCATTATAATCTATAATAATAATAATAATATATATAAAATATATTTAGGTTATAATAATAAATAAATAGTGTTTACATAATCGATTTTTACGAAATCGAGTCACTCGAATTTTTTTTAAATACGATGTTGCAACTGTAAGGAATCTCTAGGCCCCTATTCTTGAAAAATATCCATGGACATATAGGCATATCTGTCCATGGCCATTTACACAACAAATGTTCAGTAACCAATCAATCTATCGCTTTTCTAAGCGGGAAATTAATTAGCTACAATGGAATTAGTAAACTATAAAAAGTTGGTTAATCACTCGAACGTAAGGAGAATCTATAATTGATAAGTTTTTGATAAGGCTTATAATTTACTATTTCCATTGCTTTTTTTCTAATGTGGAAAGCAAAAAGGAGAAAAGATAAATGTGCAAGATATAATTCAGCTCGTTCAGTTGAAAAAAAAAGGGTCTTTTATGTTGGCAGCAGTGCAACAATCAGACCAGCTGTTACCGCTGTGACGTCAAGTTTTGAAAGCGAGATATCCTTCCTGGACCCCCCTTCCCGCCAGCGTTGCACCAGCAGGAAAACATTGGGAAATGGGGAATTACCGATGTCGCCTTATTCCGCCGTAATATAACGGCTCTTGCAAATGTTAGCGTGGAATAGCACAGAAAATACTCGTTGCTTTTCATCGAGAGAGGCCGAGGCCGGCGTCAGTGTACCTGGAGCATACTTATAGTTTTGTAGACAAAATGTAAGGGCTACCTAACCTCGTATTCACGGCGAGTGAACAAGTTTTCAGTGGGGCAGGTGATCAAATTTTACCAAGAAAGTTAGCAAAACGCAGAATACGTTAGAAGCGACACAGTTGCAGAGTGTTATACGCTTATCATACCAATTCAAACGACAAAGTCCTCCTTCAAGTGACTGGTCACACGATGAACGTTGAGAACTTGGAGAACGATACCTTCGGGTCGTACTGTGCGCTGTTAGTCGCTTTCAAGACCATGAAGGAACGTTGTCAACAACTGCAGACACGACTGACGACAGTGGAGGAAGAGAACATATGTCTTAGGCTCGAATGTGGCAGGGACTTAACTACAGCTGTTGTTAAAGTTGACAAAAGCGACAAGTCTGCGCTGCAAATTCTACAGGTTCGTCAAGTCAATGGCTATGTTCAGCAGAAAAGTTCTTGGTTTAGATCTAGTGAGGAATCAAAGGCAAGATCAGTTATACTGTAGAATTTTATAACAGTAGCTGTTTTCTCTGTTAGGAATGCAGCTAATATTTTTGCAACCGGAAGTTTTCTTCACTGAGTTAGTACTACTTACCTAAATTTATAAGTATTAAATGTTTGCTAAGAGCTGACTTGCTGAACGTAACTAATTAATTAGATGCAAACAATTAAAACTCTTACATCTTAAATCGTACTACAATATTCAAGGCACAATGCAGATTATAAAAGAGATCTATTCTCAAGAATTTTAATATCTTTGAAAGAGACATTTTCCAAATAGTCTTTTTTCTATTTTGCTATGAGATTTGTTTGTTCTTTTTTGTCTATTGAGCTACACAGTTGAGAATAATACAATAAACATAAGAAACATTAATATTGTTCAAGATGCAGTAAGTTTTTGGTACTTATTTCTTTTGGTAATCTGAAACAAAATATGAGATGTAAAAATGGAAGGATAAGGAATATTTTTCATTGTTTTACATTTGTAATATCTGTGATATTTAAACATACTTAGGATACAATCAATATAATATTACAAATGTTTTGAAACATTTTCTGATTAGTTAATTGATAAAATTCTTTTGTGTAATTAATTGTCAATTAAATGCTTCAAGGCATTTGTAGTGAAATTTTGATTACACCTTTAATGATGCAAGTAATGTATTTTTGGATTATAGGAAAAGATAGAAGAACTTACAAAACAAAAGTCTCAACTGTCTCATCATATTTTTATGGTGGCTGCGGAAAATCGTCAGTTATGGAACAGATTGACAAGATTGACTAAAACTAATAAATCATTAGGTAGCCAGTTAACAAAGATCTCGGATACGCTTAAGCAGCATCCTGTTACACAGCCGTCTGACATTATTTCGTACAAATTTCGTGATGTGTCTAATTTAGACAAACAGGATGCTAAGACGTATTTATTAACTACAGATGGTTGGTATCGACTTGAAATTAATATATATATACTGCACTCATTGTCAAAATAAACAATTTTCGTTGTTGCAGGTGAAAGAGAGCAAAGCTTGGAAGAGATATCTCTTCGACTAATAAATAGTATTATGCTAGAAAAGTCAGATCTTGAACAACAATGTGCAGAGGTAAAGAGGTCAAAATATTATAATCATTTAACATCTTTTATGTAATGTCCGTTGTTTCATGCAGATGATGGAGTTAAACAATAGTTCCGAATTAAATTTACAAAATGTTGGTTTCACATATCCAGAAGATTCTGACACAGATTCGTTAGAGCAACTGAAACAGCATGAAATTCGATTATCTCAAACTAAGGATGCTTTACTTGGGCAACAAACTAGGTTAAAAAGAACCTTACAAAATCTTAAAAAAATGAAGAACGGTAAATCTTAATCAAGTGTAGTCAATTTAATCGATTATCATTCTTTTTTCATAGCATTTGTTAAACTAGAAATCCTTTTGATCACAAATAATTTTGTGTCAAAATCCTCAAGAGAGAAAGGTATATATTTTTTCCTGATGTACTATCTTACTTTAACTTATACTAATTTATATACTTTAACATATACTTTTATAATTTTAATTAATATTATAGATTGAATAGTATAAGTTGGAGTGATAATATATATATAGGGAGAAAGTAAATATATTTTTCTCATAGGATTTTAATAGAATTGCTTGTGACTATATTCTCTCTAGTTGACACTATGAAAGATCTGTAGAAATTTGTTAATTTCAAAACAAATTTATATTTTCAGGAACGATATGTAATAATTGTCAAAAAAATGCAAATAAAAAGATGTGCCAAACAGGTACACAATTTGAGTCTAATGATAGTTTCAAAGGACATCGAGCTACTCAGACTAGTTTCATGTCTACCAGTCTTTCTATGGAAAAATGTCCTAATTTGAACGATAATATAGATGCTGATATCAATATATGCCCATTGTGTGGAATTGTTTACGGAAAGTCCATACCATTTGCAGAGTTTCACGAACATGTCTTAAGCCATTTTACCAAGGAAATGTCTACAGAGGATTTTGAGCTTGTACATTAATTTCAATATCAAAACTAGTGATGAATCATTCACACGAAATTTTCTTCAGATTTCAACATATATAAGGAAATATATGGTGATTGGGAATACAACGTATTGAAATAGATAAAAGAAGCTCGATGTACGATAATATAATTTATATACAAGACAATACTGTAAGTTGCAAAAGTATTTATTTTTATATCAATAAACACAATCACGAAATGAAAATGAAATATTTTCGTTGCAAAAAGGATATAAGAAAAATTGAATATTTACATGATAAAATATTCTAACATTTTTTTACTCTCCAAAAATCCAGAATATTAACCTATTTCTCAACGGATATATCCTTTACATTTGTAATCTAGTCTGTAAGCTTCTGACTATAAAATATTAAAATCAAATTTCAAGTGCACTTTACACAAGATTAGTAGGTTTAACATCTTTTTTGTTCGATGATTCCTGTGATGTTGGCTCCAGTAAATTGTGATGAAACCAGGAGGGCCTTTTCTTTGGCATCTCGACTATTCTTTGGTTCTGAAATTAAAGAAATACATTAAATTTACATTTAACAAGTAAACAAAACTAAATTCTATATTGATAACACATATTTTATCAATACCTTCCAAAATTTATCTGTTTTAGAATCCTTCTCTCCATCGTATAATACAATTACATTCTGTTCTACTGGATTTAAACCCAATTCCTTTTGAATAGCGTCTTGCATTTCTTTAGTCTCAAGTTTTACTTTTTCATAGCAATGTCCTACATAACAATAAATATAAACCATCGTAAGTTTTCCTTATTCTGCATATTTAATATGTAGAAAACTTGCTTTCTATATTTTTTTTATAATCTTTAACAGACCTTTCCAATTTGAGTTCTAGAGCCAAGATACAAAGTTATTGATACAAAAAATTCAATGTAAGATCTCAGAGACTTTAAAATGTTAATAAGCATCACTCAGATATATCAATATTTTACAGTCCTTGAAATCCACATTGAATTTTGTGTCGATGGCTTAGCGTTTTAGCTATGGAGCTTAAATTGGACAGATATAATCTATATCTTATTAGATAGTATTTACCGCACAAACGGCCAGCTTCATAATGATAACCGCAATTCACACATGATAATAGATTAGTTTTTGCAATAGGTGGCTTCCATACATATTTCATTATTCCAAATCTTCTCTTAAGTCTTTCAGCTATACTACGTCTTTTTGTTGGAACCGCCCATAAAAATCCATTGTCGAAAATTTCTTTTAGACTGCTGGAACGGTTTCCTGCTTTTGGTTCATTTAAGAAACCATTGCAATCTAGTGCGCATAGTGACCCTATAACAGAACATTAAAAAGTTATTTAAATTTCAATAAACATGTCGACAAAATTTATTTCATTTTGCGTTACTAATAATGTTAAAATTATCTGCGAATAAAGCTGATCTTCCTATAACTTTGAGGTTAAGGAATATAAGAACTAGCAAAAGATAACTCATATTAACTTTTAAAATTCAATTATTAAGAACACATTTTTATGTATTCATTTTCACTTACTTGGAGGAAAACCGCGACCAAAAATAATTTGAATTGCTTGTTCAAATTTTTGAATAGCTAAACTTAACTTATTCATTGTGCCACCAACTTTTGCTTACCAACTAAGAATCAATAATGACGAATTCCAAGTTGGAATTTCCAACATCTCCCGCAACAACATATCGGTCTTTATACATTTATCTTTAAAATAATAGTAGAAATCGACAATATCGACTGTCGATATAAATTTCTCAACTGTCGATAAATAATATAAAGTAATATATACGGCTCTCAAGAAGAATAAAATTCAATAATTTAGAAGGGCTTCTTTCTCTACGAGCCAAAAACAATGTTGTTTAATTTCAAGTATAATAGATAACATAAATCATATAATATAAATAATATAATATAAACAAAATTATAAAAATTAAAAGTAATAAAATTATAAGGCTCTACGTGTATAAAACAAAGTATATAGAATAAGGGCAAAGAGCCAGTAGCAACAATTAATTTAAATTTAAATAATAATAACAAATATGTAAATAAAGTAACAAAGAAATTTTATAAATAAATAATACATATATGTTTCGACTCCGTGTCGATGACGGAGTCGAAACGTATGTATTATTTATTTATTATATTAAACTTTTTTGTTACTTTATTTGCATGATTGTTATTATTATTTATATTTATATTTATATTAGATTAATTTAAAGGATTTTAACGAATTTATTGGCTCATTGCCCTTATCTCTTTAAATTAGTTTTTAAAAACTTATTATTGAGCCTTATTACAAACAATTTTTATTATTATTTAAATTTAAATTAATTGTTTTTGCTGGCTCTTCGCCCTTATATTCTAAATAAAAATTAAAGTTTAAATCTTATAAATAATAAATTAATAAACGATTCGACACTTGTCTGCGTTCAACAGAAAATACAGCTTTGCAACTGTTATAAAATTTGCAATACGTTTAGTTTATACATTTAGATTCAGTGAGGTAAATGTATACAGCAGCCAGAGTATACATCATTTAAACTGCAGTATAAGTGCGTGTATGTGTGTGTAGAAAATCTACGTGATAAACGTAGAAAGCGTTTAAAGCGCGGCTGTGACAAACATCATTTGATAATGTGTTTCCCAGTTTGCCAGGCATGCGCATGCGGCTTGCAGTGGTTCACAAAAGGCACATAGCGGATCATCTAAAGTCTCGCAGAGAGGCGCTCTCATTCGTGGCTAGCGATCGCAATGGGACGGGACGCGAGACGGGGAGAAGGTCGGCCGCCGTCGGCCGTAGGAGGGGACGCGATTTTTCGAAGTGTTGGTGGGATCGAGTGATAGACGTCGTAAGAGGTACGGGCTCCTCGGGCAGTAGTGAGTCCCCTCACTATAGTCCTCGCGATGGCTTGTATAGGATCGAGTAGGCTTTGTGCTCATGTGGAGAGACTGTGCCAGTTCGGACATTTCGCCCAATTACGGAGGAAAGTTTCGACTACGACATGTGTGAAATCGCGGCCGGTGCTCTCCGCGCGGACGAACGGCACGCTCCTCCAGCACTGTCAGGTATGTCGGCGAGGCCCCCCGTCTTCAATCCCGCCGCGAATGTGCATCCCGTTCGAATTGCCCCGCCTGGAGCGCGTCGTTCTGACGCGCCGGACGATCCGTCGGACACGACGTCCGCGTGAAAACGCGTCGTCCCATTCAATTTTCCCTGATTTTCGCGTTTCGTTTCGACAGTCCCGCCGACCTAACCTACACCCGGCGGTGACACCTAACCCACGTTTTATCGCGTATCTCCGACGAAAAGCGACAGCCGATCGACCCTGTGGACCGTTTCGAAATTTTTTGAGGCACATTCAGTCAAGATTCGAGAAGAGAAGAGCGTTTAATGACTCTACGAGACCTTAGCGGAAAAATTACATAATATGTAGGGCAGATGCGCTAGTTGCACGAAATCCGATTCCCCGCAAGTCTTTTTGGAGGAGATCGCGAGCAGAACTTGTCATCGCGGAATAAAACACCGGAATTTTATCCTTCATGTATAAAATTCGCCAGTATGTGCAACGTTGCAAAGATACTTGAAGCGCCACAATTTTTCTTCGATATACATCTGTCAGCTGGTCCTAGCAGACGCCGTATGTATCGTCTGCTAGGGACGTACTGAGATGTCAAATGAAAGACGATTTCTTGGCAAGCGTATAGGAATTAAATTGAACGCGAGAATCGTATGTAATCAATACATACAACAATTTACGCGCATTGTTTTCCCATTGATCTCGTAATGAGAGTTTCGGATGGAAGGCATAAGAAATTTCTACTATTTTAGACACTGCATTGACTACGTGAGCGAGAGGCGCGTCGTCGGCCGCGCGCATGCGCGCAATACATGCGCAATTCGAACGCGCCAAAGCCCACAGATTGTTTTTCTTGAAACAAGACTAAAATTACAAAAGTGACCAAATTCACTGAAAGATTTATAATTTATTGATTAATAAGGCAAATTAATAATATTGAGAGAAGGCTCGACAATAATATATAAAAGTTAAAATATAGTGTAACGGGCAACGAGCCAAAATAGAAACAATGAAATTCGAGAGAAACAAAGACAATATGATAAATGAACAATAAACAAGTAAACAAACGTTTCGACACCGATCGGGTCATTCTCAATGTTAACAAAATTTAGATTTTAATAACGGAATTTTTTTTTACAAAAGTTTCTTATATAGTTATATGTTATATTATCAATTCGGATGCTTGAATAATAGAAGTCAATCAAAATCGTTAGGCAAAAATTAAGATTGTCCATTATGTAAAATGTATTTGTCAGTCAAATAAGGTAAATGTTAATGGACAATTAGTGAATATGACTTAATTCGTTGACAAGGTGTACAAAATTTTAAATATTAAGCTTTTGATATGTACCACTCAAAATGAATTTGTTGTTTATAAAAATTTAATAATGAATTTGTTTAGAATCGTATATGTCGTTAAAAGCTTAATATTTGAAGTGTTTTCTTACTTTGTCCAACAATTGATTTGTACCTGCTAACTGGTATATTTAAATACCTTACCTAGTAAATTTCTTTACTTTTGTAATTTTCACTTTGTTTCAAAATACATAATCGATCTCGATCGATCTCTTGTATATTTTGAAAAATGCAGTGAGAATTAAAAAAGTAAAATATTATAAAATTACAAAAAATCATAAACAATTATAAAATTATAAAATTTTTTATGAACAGAGAAATGATAAAGGATTAGGAGAACTAAACAAATTGACTAAGAAAGTGTACACCTCGTTTAGTATCAGGTGTAGAGGTATTATTATTTATTTCATCGTTTTTCGAGAGTGTTTTAAAGGTAGAAGTTTTTAACTTTTACTTTTGGATTCTCTTTTACAAGAAGGGAAAGAGTTTATACAAGTTTTTTTTTCGAGTTTTTACTATGCCCATATATACTCATTAGTTGAAAGATTGCAACACTTTTTTTATGAGTATCAGAATCTTGCTCGTACAGCGATTAAACGTAAATGGTTAGATCCACAAGTAAAAACTAATTGCTCGGTTAGCAGACTGCATTCTGAAAGTGATCGAAAAAAAAAATGTGCAAACCTTTTAGCTGTAAGTGTGCATATGTATTATATGATATCTACTTTAAATTAATAAAAAAAATTAATGAATGTATCTATGAACGATTTGAAGTATACTATACGTATACAAATCAACAATTTTAAATTTGATAGAATAAAAAACCGTAACTTTTACAGAATTTATTTTTTATTACATATATAGAACAATCTAAAATCTAAACCAGGCCTGTTCAATTTGAGCTCTGGAGTTAAATCGCAAAACCATCGACGCAAAAAATTCAATCTAAAATTTCAGGAACTGTAAGTGTTGATAAGCGCACTACTCAGAAGGCGTATCAATATTTTGCAGTTCCTAAAATCTTATCCGCATTGAATTTTTTTGCGTCGATTGCTTTATGTTTTGACTCCGGAGCTAAAATTGGACAAGCTTGATCAAAACGATGCCTCAGATTTTTTTATTTAAAATAGGATTGAAAATTTTTATAGATTAATATAGTATATATATATATATATATATATATATATTATATTATGTTATATATATACATATATTGATCATTTTTTTAAACAGAATTTTTATGAAAACTAGTGATTTGTATAATAAATAATGATGTTACTCCACATTATTCTATATTTACTTTTATATTTTGAAAATTAAATATATTTTTGTGAATTAAAATTAATTTTATTGCATTATTTCTCATTAAAAATTTTGTCGATTTTAATTTATATCGAATTTATTTTACACGTCGTATGTTCTTGAATCGCTACATCTCAGGTGTCATATATAGGACACAAAAGTGTCTCTCTCTGAAAGTCCTCTGAAAATTAAATAAAAATACCCACCCTTTAATATCTCTTCCAGTTGCGAATCGCTCGGTATATTCTCGAGAAATCACAGTTGCGATTTTCGAGCCGTGAGCGTACGTGCGAAATCGCGACTTTCTCGGATCGAAAGCGCCGTGGAAGAAGCGGGGCTTCGAAATTTCGCCGTCGATGATCGGCCGCAAAGTCGTCAATCTTGGGGCGGCTGATCGTATTATGCAAGACTTAGATCACTGCGTTCGAGCTGTCCGTGGCGACGCGACGCGACGTTTCGCCGTGCTTCTTTTTTTGTGAGGATCTGACGACGACAGTCAATATTATTGAATCGGCGAACGCGACGACCGGTCGCGTCACGAATTTCGAGCCGTACTAAGCCGCGTAAGTAGGCTAACAGGCTGCGCGAGAGATACTTCTTGGAGCACGCCGGCATTCGCGCTCTTGACTTTCTCGGCTTGACCAGCTATAGCATGCGTCTCCACACCTGTTTTTACCGCGGGATACCATGACTTTTACTCCTCTGTAGAAGCGACACTTTCCGATCGAGAGTGAAAACCGCAGAAATCGAAACCTCATACATATATGCGTACTTTTGAAAATGCGTCTGACGTAAACGTGTGAGAGTGCTCGATTTACTTCTGATTCACTCGATAGATCAGTTTCTTCATATTAAAAAAAATTTAGAATGCAAAACAATAAAATATATATGTTTAATATATAGATTATTCAGAAATTCTTGAATCAATATGACATGTCAAGAAAACTTCTTGAAAAAGTAAGTTTTAAACATATATTTCTTACTTATCGTTCCGAACATAGTAGTTTTGAGATAAAGGTTTTTAATTGTATAATTGTAGATTATGAGACTCGTTAACCGTAACCCACATTTGTTGACTTTAAAAAATTATCTTAAAAACTATTATTCAGAATAACACAAATACATTTGAAAAAAAAATTTACTTTTTCTAGAATTTTCTTGTTTGACAAATGGCAAATACTTTTATAATTTATTTTTTCAAGGACTTTATTGCTATGAATTTTCATTCACGAATTTTATAATTCTCTGTACATTATATAATAGAAATAATTGTTCAGCATTTATCATCGAGTTATATAGGGTGATTATTGTGTTTATAATATTTTATATTTGATATTATATTTTCATTATCTCATAATTTTTTTTATTATTACAATATACATATATCTTTTACATATTTTTCTATACTTTATATATAGTATAATTGTATTATATATAAAGGTAATATTATATTAATATAAAAATATGTTTGTGTATATGTTTTATGACTTTGTATATATATAAATATATAGTATATATTTTGAAGATTAGAATAAAAATTTATAAAAAATAAAAGTATCAAAATACTATAATATAATAATTTTAAATTTTTAAGCGTTTTCTGTTGATATTATTTATCAGGGCATGCACCGTACTATTCGAAGTGGATTCTGATCGAAATTATTTCGGTTTTTTTGGAAAACACGACACGAATCTAAGAAATAATTGAAGTATTCTAATCGGCATACATTTCGAATAATTCCATAATATGTCATGCAGGTAATTAAATGCTCTGTCGTTTTTCCAGAATTATATATATGATGTTTAATGTATATGACGCGAAATATTCAATAGATTGCGTTACAGTGTCATTAAAAACAAGATGCACTGTTAGCTTTATTTATACAGAAAATTGACTCGTGGAAATGAGTATTCCAAATTAAATTATTCGTGTTTGTAGTATGTTTTTTCTCTAGTTCAGTAAATTTAAGATAAAGACCGCGCTTTCCCCAAAAGTCTGGTATATTTTTTGGCGTTTTGGTATTTCTAAAGATAAATTCAGAATATACAAGCTCGAAAAACTGTAGAGATTGAAGTGTCTACTTCCGAGTCCATTTATTGCATTTTCTTCTTAATTTTTTGTGTATATGTAGACCGTTCAATGTGTTTTATTTTTATTGTCAGATGTTATATAACGGAATCGAGTCTTTTGCATCATATATTAACCCTTTATCTGACATACTTCTCTAAAATTGCATAGTTGGCACAATGGGGCGTCTGGTACCCCAACCATAAAATAACTTGCCACGAGTAGGCTATTTGATATTTTGACTTGACAAAAATTCAGGATAT